TTCTTTGGCCTTCTAATAATCATTCAATAGTGCAATCGGAGGTTCGTCCTCCTCGTCACTGACCCCCGCCCCACATTAAGTCCTGCATTGTAGCAAGGAGGAGGCGTATGTGGTATGTGGTGATGGCATAGTGTACAATACACTAGTCCATCACCGTCAGTCGATGGTTTCGGCTGGTAGACCAAAACTAATCCATTGAATCGACTGTTTTTGAAACCTCGTAATAAACATTCGAAATCAAATCCAAAAGGCTAAAAACATTCCTTTCTTGGATTCAATTTTGAATGTTTATTACGAGGTTTTAGAAACAGTCGATTTAATGAATTAGTTTTGGTCTACCAGTCGAAACCATCGACTGATGGTGATGGACCAGTGTATTGTACACTATGCCATCACCACATACCACATATGCCTCCCTCCTTGCTTCAATGCAGGGCTTAATGTGGGGCCGGGGTCACTGACGAGGAGGACGAACCTCCGAAACACCGGTGTATGGCCCTGGCGTACCAACCTCGTTTAGGCTAAAAATTCTTTTTTTTTTTTGGAATTACTTGAATGTTCATTACGAGGTTTTGAAACAGTCGATTTAATGCAATAGTGTAATCGTTTCTGATTTCAGCTATGTGCTTATATTCCGAAAGACTGTTTCTCTAAAACGTAGCAGGTATCATGAGTCAATCCCCATCTGCGAAAAAGGAGGTCTTTGGGCAATTCACGTGCGCCTGGCTGAGTTCCCACCTGCGGTATTGCGATGATCGATAGATCTTGCATCGATCTTACGACTTCGCACCAGCACACGTGGCTGTCTCATCCAGCCGCACATGAGTTGGCCACAGATCCCCTTGATCTCAAATAGGAACTCAACTTATTTTACCTACTACGTTGTAGAGCAACAGTCTTTACAGAATTTAAGCACATCGCTGGAATCAGAGAACGATTACGCTATTGAATGATGATAAAATTGTCCAAAGAAAAGCGCTCCGTCCAGCTAGAAATATGACGCGTCTACAACGCAAGAAATCTCTCTGTGGCTACGTAAAGATAAGCCTTTTCGAAAACCGGCAACGTAGAGCTGTAGCCTGAAGCCTCGGCTTTCGAACGGTTACCAACACTCCTATGGAAAATTCCTCCGCAGCAAATGAGGTCGGTTTTTCATTTCTTAGCTTATAATCAGAAAGAACTTCTCATGCATTTAAGATTTTGATTCTACTACTGTCTAGAAAATTGTCTTGCGGTTATTTTTATATATAAAACTTATACGTTCGTTCTAAGATAGAAGCCCGAGAGGGAAAATGACTGTTGATGTTTCACGACTGCCGCTGCGCGCTCAAGTTGCACTTGAACCAAAATGACACTCGTGAAGTGCCAGCTGTCGTTTTCGTTCTCGGAAAAAACTCCATCTTGAAACAGATATACGAATGTTATATATGAAAATTAACCGCAAGAAGCTGCTCTAGAACGATAGTAAAAACGAAAACTTAAACGCGTGAGATATAATCGACAAAAACGAAAAGGCCCGGCAAACTTATTGACAACACATTACTCAAATTTTTACGCTTTCGCCTGTCTCGTCAGTACCACAAGTCCCATACCAAGAGTAGCAGAGACGGAAGATGGCAAAGTGCTAGACATGTGAAATATCACATGCTGCATCGTCTTTCTTTCAGTCGTGTTTTTTGTGGCTATTACCATAGACACTGCCTTTTATTCATAGAAAATTAGGAAAACGGTAAATCACTTAATATGTCACTTGACGATCATTGTGGCATCTTTCCCCTCTGCTACTCTCAGCATAGGGTCGTGTGATACTGCCGAGACGAGTGAAACCGTCAAAACGTACGTATATCTTTGAATTGTAGTATCGAAAACCCTTAAAAGGGTTAAAAAAGTCTCTCGAAGTATATATATATGTATATATATATATATATATATACATATATATACATGAATATGTATATGCGTATGCACATGGATATAGATGTGCTATACGTAAGTATATACACATATATATGCACATATATACGTACACGTACGTCTATATCTGTATATACATGTACATATGCACAAGTGCATATATATGTATATATATATATATATATATATATGCATATATATATATATGCATACATTTTTATCATAAGCTGACCCTTCTTCTTTGAAAAGCTTGCGCGGGTTGGTATAAGCTCCACAAAATCGATGGTTAGCCCTTCGAAGGTAGCCCTTGAAGCCTTTCAACTACTTTGAGGGAAAAGTCACCCGCGTACTGCACACATGTGACAATTCATTCATTTTTTTAGGTCGTTTCATAAGTTTTGGCAATCGATCAATAAACACCGAATTCGTTAACCAGAAGTAATCATAATCGCATCATTTTGGTGTCGTTCAAACGCGCATTTTCCTGAGAAAAACCTTGGCATACAATTCGCCTGTACTTGCTCAAAGATAGAGTTGTCTTGGGAACAAATTCGTATGCTACTCTTGTATGAATGGCGCGTAGGGGAAAACGCCAGTGAAGCGGCAAGATTAATGTAGCTTGAGGCGATGATACGATCGCAGAAACGACGGCTAGGAATTGGTTCGCGAAGTTCAGAGCTTGGGAGAACAGTCGGAGGATCAGTCGCGCTCGGGCCATCACAGGAAGCCGCACTAAACTTGCACTCCGCTTCACTAGTATTTTCAGTTAAGCGCCGTTCGTGCCTGAATACGAAAAGAATTTGTTCCCACGACAACTGCATATTTGCAAATATAGGCAGGTTGCACATCAATTTTCGCAAAAGTGCGCAATTGATTGATACCAAAATCATGCAATTTAAGTATGCCTGGTAATGATTTTTTGAGCCACGCATCTCAGTGGTTTATCAAAGAGGGCTGACTTTTAGAGCCCGATACACGTGTTTCAATCTTGCGATCTCGTCAGTCGGGCAGTTACCTTTTCTCATCTTTTGCCAATCCTGCGTGGGTACTCCAGTCACTAAGAGTTAGCGACGACGAAACGTGTTACACTCTATGTCCAGTGAAATTATCACCAACACAGAGCGTTGTACACTTTATTGTTCTTGGCTAGTATATATATATATATATACAACATCTTCGAGTGTTTTCTGAGGAGCGCAAGATCAAAACACGTGTCGGGCTCTGTAAGTCAGCCCTCCTTGACAGACCACTGACATACGTGGCTCAGAAAATGATTACCAGGCATATTGAAATTTGAGCTGTGGTCTTAAGAAAACACTCGAGACGAAAGATACAGTCTTAGTTACTTCTGGTTAGTAAATTTGGTGTTTATTGCTGTAAGGCTAAAACTTATGGAACGTCCTAATAAGATGAATGAATTGCTAACTTGTGCGACAATACACAGGCGACCTTTGCCCTACAAGCAGTTGAAAGGCTTTAAGAAGGGCGAAGTCGCTGGAACTTCAGTCACCGATTTGAACAGAGGGATACCAACCTCGTCTGAGATTTATACAAGGTCAGCTGGTAAGACAGTTTTCCTCTCCCATGTCGAGGTTCACTGAGAACTGCTTATCAGTTACTACTAATCGTACCTGTAGATCAAATAAACGGTGACAATCCTGCTTGCGGCATCGTCCGTCGGAGCCAAATCATCGTAGATAGCGAGCAGCGCCATACCGATAACTAACGAACATCGCTCCTTGAATATCTGAACAGCTCGTGCCTCTCAGTCTAAAGTCTTCGCGCTAAAGAATCAAGGAGAAATTTCTCACCTCGATAAACTCAGTCGCCACTTTATTCAACGGCTTTGAGTGGCACTTGATTAGTCTGGAAGAAATGCTGAGTGAAAATTCAATGAAAAGGTAGCAGAAGAACGGTACAGACCTGATTATATCGGTCGCATTCTTCCTCGATAATCCACATCCATCGTCGTTCGCGTTTTCGACGATGTCATCGAAATCGTCAAGGCCCGTCTCCTTCGTTTTACCCTTTTTCTTCTGAGCCTTCTTCTTGCCACTCATACGAAACCAGTCGATAGGCCCTAAGAAGATCGCAATTTACATAATTTTAGACATGATCGCGCGTGGCGCAGCGGTTAGAGGTGCTCTGCGTCACAATGGATCGACCGATCCGAAGGTCGACGGTTCGATCCCGGGCTCAAGGCTCATCACAAGCTCTGCATCTCTCCGGGATCAGTGACACGACTCGTCTGGGAGGATAGTAGCACTGACTTGATACAACGCGAAAATACGAGCCATTGTCAGGGTCGAAGCATTGATTCAGCTTTACGATGCTACGAGTGGAATGGAATGTATGGCGCACCTGCCACGGGGTAGATCAAACGCAGAGGGCTTCACCCTTCTATTTCTATCGTTTTAGACAACGAGTCATCACAATTTTTGCCGCACGGGTCCCCAGCACTTCTTGGATGGATTCGATCCTCTCCTTCGCATTTCTCGTCCACAAAGATCTTCGACTAGTGTTTCACGTGTTGCTTCGGTTGCTGCCTAACCCGTTCGGGACCACCAATTCAGATCGCCACGCGCAGCGCAATCGCAGCCCTGGAGCGCGATTTTTCTTATTTGATAAGAGATTTCTTAACCGTTTCGGATAAAAATGTGGGATTTCTTGTGACATTCCATAGATTAAGATTTTCTCTTCACACTCGTATGCTTTATGATACGGCATTTGCTTTTGATAGTCGTATTGCTGTGACCATAACATTGAAAACTGGAGATTTTTCGGACACGTAGGTGCTCTTCTTAGTAAAAAAAATTTATAGAAAGCCTTCACAAACATATCGGTATCAGCTTACGAATTTTGGTTCTTTCTGATTAAGAGGAAACGAACGAAAAACCGTGAAAAGCGACTTAATTCCATGCTATAGTGCAGTAAAAAATCAGTCCGAAAAAAAACAAACTAGTTTTCAGGATATACACTTCCTAAATTGTCGAAAGATTCAATGAAAATTACTTTATTTGACCGCCGATTGCGGTGTTATGATGTTCAAATAAACCCGATGATGTAGAGTGGTGTGCAAAAACGTTTGCATCAGCCGAGATTTGAACCCAGATCTTACTCTTTCCAGGAGCATGTGCTAAATTGCACCACCAACGGTTTAGCACATGCGCCCGGAAAGAGTAAGATATGGGTTCAAATCCTGACTGACGCAAATGTTTTTGCACACCACTCTACACCATTGGATTTATCGAAAGATTATTAAAATTATTGTAGGGACCAGGCAAAAACGATAGCGATAAAAACGATAAAAAAGCAAAAAGCGAAGCACGTAAAGCACTCCGGAAGCGAAACGCAATTTTTTGTTCTTCGACTTTACAGTGCATTAAAAAACCTACATTTACTACTTAATTCAAAAACTAAGTTTATATTTAGAATCGCCATTTCTTAAGCTATCAAATAATCAATAAAACTTTGGTGAAAAACGTATGTTCTGTGAAAAAAAACCTCGCAATTACGAGTGCAAATCACATTTTGCACTCCGAAGAGAAACGCAATTTTCTTTTCGTTGCTACAGCTCACTGGAAAAGCGTCACCGAAACCAAGCACACCATCAAAACCGCAATTTTTTCCAGCTACCAAAGACTAATTATAGTCTAATGAAAAGCCTAAGGTCAACGATAAAACCACAAAAAGGGCTCCCGAATTCCAAATGGAATTCCGTCTTCTTTATGAATGTCACAGAATACCAGTCAAAGAGATTTCCACTGTGATCCAATGAAGCAGCCGAGATCAGGAGTTGCAGAGGTTTCAACTATTCACTTGCAAAAGACTGGCCGGGTGAGGGATCGAACCAGCGCATCGCTAATGGCACTGCACCGCTAACCACTGCGCAATCTCCTCCCTCTAAATCCTAAGAATAAAGCAACAGAGACGCTGTGAAACTCAGAGAACTATGAACGATGCGACAAGGAAATTGCTGAGGAAAACTTTCGCGGGACAAGGGCCTTCGAAAATTGCTCAGTGCCGATGGAGCAGGTTATGGCGGCAGAGCACGAGAACTGCTCGTGTGATTTAGTCAACCAAGGGCCAAATTTTACAATCTCATAAAATTTGTGATTGAAACTCTTTAAAGCCTAAGTATTATCTCTAGGGACTTTCTATGACACTTAGTGGTTACTGTAATCCCAAAGGTACTCTCTTAGGTAACCCCCTCACTTGTGTAATTGATGTCAATGTGAATGAAGAAGCCTCGTTAACCCATTCGGGACCGTGGATCCGCGGCCTCTGCATCCCTAACTGGCAACTCTGGACGGTCCGCTCCCACCTCCTCTGCATCTCTAACCCCAGCGTGCCATTGTTAGACGCAACAGTAACTGCGATACTCTATTGGCATGTTGCCTACTCTTGTACAACTTCCCCACTGAGGCCCTATCCCATTGGGGACAAGCAGCTTTGATAAGCAGGCGACGTCGTGCCGTCAGTTGCGTAGCGGTGAGACAAGCGGCTTCGCACGTCTGTGCTTGTGTGCCTGGCGTCTGCCTGCTTTCCTGCGAGACGCGATGTCGCCGTTACAGTAGCTGAGTGAGATCTGACGTCGCGCGGTGAGCATCAAAATGACTCTCATAGTCCTTTAAGGGTTATACTGAGTGATGGTATCGATTTTCTAACAGCGGAGAAATCTACACATACAATTAACGTTATTATAGCTTATAAGAATTCCTTGTTCTTCCTACTTTAAGCTATGCCATGATGTTGTCATTGATTGAACTAATAGGATCTATTCAGTTATGAGGGGACAAATAAAAACCGATCTTATTCGCTGGAGAGGAAATTTTGATAGAAGTGTTCGTAACCATCTGAAATCTGGGACTTGAGGCTACAACCGCACGTCGCCGGTTTTTCAAAACACCCCTTTATAACGCTGTAGCCTCCAGATCGAAAATTATATTCCACACTTGCTTTAGTCTTCATTTTTATCACGCGCATAACTCGCCGGAAGCCGAAAAGCTATCAATGCGTAGAGGAAATTTCGTAGTATCTTAGTAAATTGTTTTATGTGGAGTTTCTTCCAAAGCTGAAGAAAAATTCCCAATTGAACAACAATATATCGGTCGTCCCTCCTCGCCCCGCCTCTTCCACGTCCCCTGCCACGGCCGTCGCCTTGTTTTTAGCAGGTAAACAACGTTGCCAAAAACGTGAAACTCGATCTTATTTTCCGTGCCAAACTGTATTTTCGGAAAATAAGCACATAGCTAGAATCAGGAATCATTACGCTATCAGATGGTTACCAGTAGTCTAAAGAAAGAGCTTTGTACGGCACGGTTTGAAGCACAGATCAAAAGACCAGAGGAGATCAAAAGATCAAAGCGTTTTTAAAGAGCAAGCACGTTTTTGAGTTCTTCGAAGCTTGTGGTATAGTTTGAGTACTAGCACTCTAATGAGGTAATTTTGTCCAGCGATATACAAGCGATATAAGAGAAAATACGTGGACTTATAGAACATGATTTTATTCTGAATGTTACAACGTCATAAAAGGATATTTTGATAAGCGGCAACTTGGGGCTGTAGCCTTAAGCCTCAGCTTTCGAATGGCTACTAACACTCCTATGAAAAGTTCCTCTCCAGTGAATGAGATCGGTTTTTCATTTATCCCCTCATAACTGAATTGTACCATCTAAGAATATGGAGTGGTATGTGAAACAACTGACCCCAAGCGGGAGCTGAACCCGAGTCTCACCCTCACCGGGACATTGTTGATATCGCTGAACGTGAATCGCATACTGCATATTTCTGGTTTGCACGTACTTGCTCGGCACTCACTGTCTCTGGAGGTGCACCTTCGAAAATGATCGAGTGAGGCGCTTGCGAGTCAATTTGGCCTTCCTAGGCTCCAAAAAGAAGGGAAACCCCCGAAACTCTAGTTAATATTGTGTCATATTGTGCCGCGAGTGCGTGTGGCGCAATGGTTAGATATGCTTTGCTTCGCACACAAACTCGACGGTTCGATATCACGCTTGTAGCTCACCGAGCGATCCATCTCTCCGGCATCGGTAAATTGGTACCAGACTTGTCTTGGAGGATAAGCAGCACTGGCTCGACGCAGCGGGAGGCCACCGCGAGTCATTGTAGAGGCCAGATTTGCATTCAATCACCTCAAACGAAATTAAAAATTAAAGCGGAATGCATGGCGCGTTCCGCAGGGTTTGATCAACGTTGAGGGCTGTGTTCTTTGCCCTTTTGTTGCGCCAAATCTAAAGAAATATCGATGAAGTGATAAGCGGTGAGTGGTTGAAGAAGGCGTTACCCAGATTCCTACCGTTTTCTTTGATGACAAAAGGAGGTTACAAGGAAGCATAACGCTCAGGTACGACGAACCAGTGGGCTTCTGCGAACTGGACATACCCGATATTTGGAAGCTAATCATAAAACAAACATCTATAGCCAACGGATGATTGATAAGTAGGAAAAGACGGTTTCACTCTCACAACGTAGGCGACGAGAACGTGCAATATGAGTTGGAAATATGTTCGCTTCCTCACTGTCGGCCTATGTATAGGAATACCTGGTCAGGAAACTTAAAGCTAAAAAAACATCACATCAGGAGAGCACAGTACACGGAGAATTAAGAAAGAAGATTCTGAAGTGAAAGTCTTCTTTCGCCCAGAAGAATGGCTAATTAGGTTGCAGACAACCTGATCCTTCCAAGCTCTTGAGAAGACGAAACTCATCAACCATGTACCTTATACCCACCTTGCTTCAGCCTCATGGAAAGCGTTTTTTTTGCTTCTATTTCAAAGTTTGAGTAGTCATTCGATAGCTTAAATCTCGAGAACTTAAATGTAGACCTCATTTTTGAAATGGCCTTCATACTACACTGTGACAGTAAAAATAAAATTATGTTCAACATTCGGGCATTTTTCGCTGGACAGAGCTTGTCTCCTACAGCTCTCCAGGGGGATCTTCACCGGTATAGGCAGAAGGAGCTGTTGGAAGAAGCACAAAAAGATTTAGTCTAAAGAAATGCCGTTGGAAGTTGTACGAATATAGTGTTTCGCTCGCAGCCCTGATGAATGACGATGGGAATGCCAGAACATCCCGTCATGACATGGAGTTGATAACGGAAAAATTATACACCAACCTTTCCCGTTCCACAATCCTTGTCCCGGACCCCAAATTACCCACTGGAGAAAAACCACCCAGGATTTTACCTTCTGAAGTACGTGTTGCGATAGAAGGCATGAAGAATGGCACAGCTCCAGGACTTGATAACATCGCCACCGACTTTCTGAGAACTGGGGGCCATAATCTACATGTATTACTCGCTACACATATGACATCCTACCTTCAGAAGGAAAAATTCCAGACCAGTGGAGGACGTCGCTCACAATCATCCTCCATAGAAAGGGTGATCGAAGGGATCTTAGTAATTAGCGTCCACTCGCTTGCTGAGTGTGCTCTACAAGCCCTTTACAAAATTGTACTTCTGCGCATATCAAGAACTTTGGATGAGGCTCAGCCAATAGTACAAGCAGGATTCCGTAAAGGATTCCGCTGCATGGACCACATCCAAACCGTATCACGTGTCATTGGAGACTGTCGGGAATATCATATGCCCTTAATCCTAACATTTGTCGACTATGAAATAGCGTATGGTAGCCTCGAAACGAATGCAGTCGTATGAGCGCTTGTCGATCAAGGAGTGGATCCGTCCTGTATAAGAACCTTGTCGTCAGACTGCTATCGAAACTGCCAAAAATACAGCTTTTCATCGAACTCCAACCATACCCATTGGTAAGGGGGTTTGACAGGGCGATACGATATCGCCAAAGCTGTTCACCGCCGCGCTGCAGTGGGTAATGAAATTGCTCGATTGGGATGAAAAGAGCATTCTTGTCAATGGAAAATTCCTGTCACATCTTCGTTTTGCGGACGACATCGCCTTCTTTTCGGAAGTACCAATGGAGCAGAGACGATGTTAAGGAATTTAAACGAAACCGGAAAGAAGGCTGAGTTACGTATCAATAGGATGAGGACCGAATTGATGAAGAACCCATGGTACAGTGGTGAACAAATCAAAATAAATGGTTCTCTGATTACAGAAACTACCTTCTTACTATGTGTACCTTCTTACCACCTTCTACCTATGTGTACCTTGA